CAGGCTCGTTCCCTAAGGAAAAGGGTCTTCCTTGCCAGGCTGACACTGTTTCTGAGGAGAAGGGACTTCTCCCAGGCTCGTTCCCTAAGGAAAAGGGTCTTCCCTGCCAGGCTGACACTATCCCTGAGGAGAAGGACCTCCTCTGCTAGGCTGACATGGTTCCCAAGGAGAACAGCCTTCCCTGAAACACTGCAAGCAATGTTTGAGTTACGCCTCTTCTCCCCATTCCCTTCCTGAAGGCGGAAACATCCCTGCTCGTTCTTTCCTTATCTCTGCTAGTGGAAATCGCCACCAAGGCCAATCCTTGGGGTGGGAACACGCTGAAGCCCGATAGTCTGCGATCGCAGCTGGAAACGTCCCTGGAGAGGCTGAAGAGGACAAGTGTGGAGCTCTTCTACCTCCATGCCCCTGACCATGGGACCCCAGTGGAGGAGACGCTGCGTGCCTGCAATGAGCTGCACAAAGAAGTAAAGTGGGAAGTCCAAGCTCGGACTATTGTTTAATTCCCTCCCTCTCACCTCCTTTTTAAACCAGGGCTGCTTGTTGTGCCCTTCTGCAGCGCTAGGAAAAGGGAACACAGACGAGCAGGGAAAAGCCAAACAACTGACGCAGTGTTAACGTGTTTACATGGTGCACTTTGTTCTCAACTGCTGAACTTTGCTTTCAGCCATCTTAACTGACTAGGTTAAGATTAGTGCTGGCAATGGCTGAAGAATTCCTGAATTGCATTAATCTGATAGTACCATTTAAATTAGAAGGTGTGAATTCAAAATTAACAGAGAATTTGAAATAGTTTTGTCAGGTCTTACAATTCATATTCTGTCTAGAAAAGGTGGACAGGGATGAGCACAGAAGTCTGGACTAAAATTTCACGACTGTCCTTTTCACCGTATGCATCTTGCACCGTGTAGGTGCAACTGCACGTTAAAATCTGGAACTGAACAGCCTTTTATTCCTCTGCAGGGCAAGTTTAAAGAACTCGGTCTATCAAACTACGCCGCGTGGGAGGTCGCAGAAATCTGCACCATCTGCAAATACAACAACTGGGTGATGCCAACTGTGTACCAGGTGAGAGATAGGGGCTTGCTGTGGTCCAGGAAACCTTTTGTGGAGGCTGAGGTGAATCAAACCAAAAGAATACGAGGCTTTACATCAGACTAGCATACGGATGGTTCCCTGTGCCCTTACAGCAATGGTCAGTCGCTGTGGGGAAGGGTTTGGAAGCCTCAGATCTCAGACGAGCCCCCAGTGTGCCAGATACCAACACAGAAAAGGAAGTTGCTGCAGTTATCTGGAAAGTCCTTTCAGGACACGCATGGTTAGAAAGCTGAGTGAGATCACTTTTCAGAAAAAGCTGAGTATGTGTTTGTTGCTTGAGTCAGTGACTCCCTTGATGTGGAACTTAAAAGTTTTTGCGTTATTTGCAAATCCTTTAGAAAGCCTGTTCCTAAGCAGATAATAACCTTAGGTGACCTGAAGCGGCTTTTCAGGATAGGAGTATTGTCAGGGAAGGGTGGGGAAAAGGCTGTTCCAGGTGCTTACGCTCACTGTCACGAGCTGGCGTTTGAAGTTCTTTCTCTCCCTCACCTTTGTGCAGGGCATGTACAACGCGACCACTCGCCAGGTGGAAGCCGAGCTGTTCCCGTGCCTGAGACACTTCGGACTGCGCTTCTACGCCTACAATCCACTGGCAGGTACGGGGAGGGACAGGGCAAGACTTTGACAAGAAATTGTGCAAAATGGGGGCTGCAGAAGAACCAGCCCATCCCTAAACATGCTGCTGACCCTTTGCAGGAGGGCTGCTGACCGGCAAGTACAAGTATGAGGACAAAGACACACGCCAGCCCACTGGAAGATTTTTTGGGAATGACTGGGCTCAAGCCTACAGGGACAGGTACGTTTTGAGCTGAGGGATGAGCAGGGATATGTGGCAGGAGTGGCTATGTAAAAAAACCTAAAATATATATTAAGAATCAGCCAGGAGGAAACGGAATTCACCAAAGCTTGTGCATTAATTATGTGGTTGGAGCTGTGGCTTGCGACAGCTCTGTAGAATGGTTTTGAGGCTCAGCTTCCTTCCAGCTTGCAGTGGGAGATCGCAGAAGTTCCCGGAGGCCACAAAGAGTTGTATGGGGCTTCCTGAAAGCCTTTTGTACCTGCTTGGAATATCGATGTACCATTCACGAGATGTCCCAAGGGCAATAAGAGTGATTTCTTTTCTTGCAGGTACTGGAAGAAGCACAATTTTGAAGGAATTGCCCTAGTGGAGAGAGCTCTGAAAGAGGCTTACGGTTCCAGCGCACCGAGCCTGACCTCTGCCGCGTTGCGCTGGATGTACCATCACTCCAAGCTGCAGGTAAGCGCTTGGAGCAACACCAGATGTGGCTGCAGCACCACCAGAACTGGGCGGCTGTTGGGGCACACAAACAGGGAAACATCTCCGTACAGACAGTTCTCTTTTAATCTGCCTATCCCGTGGGCTCATGGCCTTCCAAAGTGAATACTGCTGTTCGGACTCTGCGTGCCAGGCTGCAGGAGCGCGTCAGCTCTGCGTTTCCCCACGGTATCCTGTGTTCAGAGGATGGGCAGAAGTGGGAGATTTTACATGCCAGTTACTGGGGTCTTGGCTTCCCACCCAGACAGCTTTCCTGCAAGGAGATGACTTGGCTTTTCATTGGACTAGGAAATTAATAGTTATGTTCCCCATCTCCCCAAAACGTTCCCATAGCCCCATGTAAAGTAGGACTTGGCAGTTTTTCAGGAGCTGGCGTGACTTGGAGATATTCTGGCCTTGCGAACAGAACTGTCTGGGGTCAGTTGTCTAAACATCCACGAGTTACTGGATGCTCTTTACTGGAAAGAAACATTTCAAGGTTGGCCTGCATTGACTTGGGAGGTGAACTAGGTTTCTCTTGGGTTGAGCAACTCCTCTTACCACTTTCCAGGGTTCACTGGGAGACAAAGTGATTATCGGGATGTCCAGCTTGGAGCAGCTAGAGCAGAACCTTGACTACAGCGAAGAGGGTCCCCTGCTCCCTGCTGTTGTGGAGGCGTTCGATAAAGCCTGGAACCTGACTGCGCACGACTGCCCCAACTATTTCCGCTAGGTGCTCGGGTAGGAGGGACGAGAAAGCGGGTGGCGCGAGGGTGGAGAAGGAGACATCTCTCTTGAGAAGTCTCTTGAAGCACTGAGGAGGTTCTTACCCACCCTGTCCCTTTGATCCACGTGCAAATCGGTTATTTTCCGTGTAGGAACGAAGCTTTGTAGGATCCACTACCGCTGTCAGCACTTGTGTTGGGCTGTGCCTTCTTCTTTCCTCATGGACCTTCAGCTCTGTGCAGCACACTGTGATTTAACGATGCACTTGGTTGGGGAAAATGGACACACCAGTGGCTGAAGGCCCCAGTTTTGCTTTAACATGATACCTTAAATGATTATATACGATACCTTAAATGATTATATATGACCTTAAATGATTATATACAAGATTAAAATCTTTTTTGAATGCAGACCCTATCCCTTAACTGGACCTGTAACCTGGCTGGCATCTCTATCTCAGTTCTTGGTGACTTTTGAGTAAAAATAGCTTCTTCTGCATCACAAGATAAAAACAAACCCTCAGCATCCTCCCCAGTGTCACGTGTGCTACGTCTAATTTGCATCACATTTACATGCTTTTTGCCTCACTCTCATGTTTGAGGTGGCATTTCCTCAGATCCCGGGGTACTCAAACAGTAACAGGCAGCAGTAACAACCATCTCAAGTTTTATATATAGATTTACATTTTTTAAAAAAAGCATAATCAGGTCCTCTTTTAAGAAGAACATATCTGAGCTGATGGTCCTTGTTCTCTGGGTGCAAACAGGGAAGGGAAACATCCTCTTCTTTTGCCTCCAAAATAGAGTAGAACTCTCTAGTGTCCACGCACAAGGACTGCTGCTAGTCCTCATCGCTGTCATCCTCCTCCATTTCCTCCTCCTCTTCCTCCACTGAGTCTCCCACAAGCTTCTGGAAGTCTCCCGTTTCAGAATTCCACAGAAATTTGATGGTGACTTTAAACTCCGCCATCTCGTAGCCAAAGAGTTTCTAGGAAAGGACACAAACCCGTCATTCCCGCTTCACTGTGTACGTGGCCAGCCCAGCAAAAACACTCATGGTAAATGTCGCTTCCGGGCGGGAACTGCAGCAAAGCAAAAGCCAAAATCATGGCTGCACCCACATCAGGAACACGTACGGATGTTTGCTGCGCCCCACCGACCGCTGCCAGAAGCACTGATCACCCTTGGCCAAGAACTCCAGCAGAATTAAGCTGAGGAGTTAATTATTTTTATCAGGGGAACAGGGGCGTGCGCAGACGCTGCGTTACGACGGTACTCACCAGGACGCGGGCTTGCTCGGGGGTGAGAACGTCCCCTTCTTTGCAGACTTCGTAATCCGAAAGTAAGGTCACCACTCCTGCAGGAACAGAAATCCGTGTAGGCTCGCAAATACCGGCTAAGCCCAGCGAGACGTGGGGCGCCGAGCTCACACTCCGCTCTCTGTAGCCTTTTGCATGCGAATATTGGTACACCCCGAGGAGCTGGGTGAGATCAGCTCCGAAAAAGCCCTACATCTGGTTCTGACTGGGATGCCAGCACGCTGGGTTAGGCCAGGCCTAGTTGTTTCCCCTGAAAAAGGACGGTATCCTGTAGAATGCTGGTTGTTTCACTCGTTCTTTGGCATCAGTTTGGGAAGAACAGAGCAAGAAGAACATAACGAGCTCTAGCACCAGCCAAACAAGGAGAAAGTTGTCCATCAGATCATCTCCGTAACTAAATTCTACTCTATTATTTAACATTCTCCTTCAAAGATCTCATCAGTGCAGACAAAACCCAAAGTTTCTTCACGCTTCACGTACCTTTTTTCAGCGCCGTTGGCAATCCCAGCTGCCGTAACTGAGGCTCCATGGAGTGGGGGAACTGCTCCAAGGGCCCTGTGTCCAGGCTCACCGTGTACGCGGCCTTGTTGCCTGCACGGGCAAAGTCCACCTCTTTGAATTTGGAGAACCACCTGTGACAGAGCCAGACAACGAGAGCTTTAACTGCGGAAAGAACGTCCTCTGGGCTCACACGGGGATTAATGGCACAACCTGCCGTAGCTTCTTCCCCGTGTTGCGGGGACGGCAGAGAAAGATGAGCAGAAAACCCTCACGAGATCATGGAATCACAGAACAGTTTGGGTTGGGAGGGACCTCAAAGATCATCCAGTTCCAACCCCCCTGCCATGGGCAGGGACACCCTCCACTACACCAGGTTGCCCAAAGCCTCATGCAACCTGGCCTTGAACACTGCCAGGGATGGGGCAGCCACAACTTCTCTGGGCAATCTGTTCCAGTGCCTCACCACCCTCTGAGTGAAAATTTTTTTTCTTAGATCCCATCGAAATCTCCCCTCTTTCAGTTTAAAGCCATTGCCCCTTGTCCTGTTGCTCCACGCCCTCATCCAAAGCCCCTCTCCAGCTTTCCTGTAGCCCCTTTAGGTACTGGCAGGCTGCTGGAAGGTCTCCCCGGAGCCTTCTCTTCTCCAGGCTGAACAGCCCCAACTCTCTCAGCCTGTCTGCACAGGAGAATCATCGCTGCTTCAGGAGGAAAATCAGCAAGTGAAGCAGCACGAGGCTGCCCGGCATTTTGAAGCCACGGCTGTGGCACGCACGCACTTACTGGTCCACCTCGTCTCTGGTGCGGTCAGTGAAAAGCAGACCAACTTCTCCTCGCAGGTGTTTGCTCACCTGAAAGAGAGAAGCCACCCGTGGGACTCGGGCAGCACCCAGGGACTTCCCTTCTAGGGCTTGGTCCTGTCCCGACAGGGATGGATTCAGTCACGACCCGCGGAGGTTCCATCATCCCTCCGCATTGCTCGGAAAACCCTGGCCCAGCCCCTACCTTGTGCAGGTTCTCCTTGTACTCGCTGCTCGCCTCGCGCCCCAGCGCCACCATCATCACTTTGTTCTTCCCGAAGAA